CCCCTGCTTCCACCAACCCCAACCCCACCCTCTTCTTCGTGACCCATTGTAGATCTAAATCCTTAATTTAATCACTACTTGGTTGGTTCAACCTACCCTGAGTAAAGTATGATATAGTATAATTATTATTGTTTGTTTGTTTGAGTGAGGAGAAGAACATCAACTCAATAAGCGTAATGGTCACTAAAGTGCTGGGGAAAAGTAAGACTGGCAGACAGACAAAAACATCAGAGTGAAATAAAGAAGAAGGACGAACTAGTGGCGCCCTCCAACCACACACATATTACCATTATGTATAGCAACAAAAACTGTAAAATGTTACGCATACTTTGATATAACAAACTAAAACTTTGGTGTTGAATTCAAGTTCTAAAGAATCCATCGTTGCTTTGAGTATTGTTTAGTGGTGGTATATAGAACTATGACTAACATAAACAACAAATGTTTCTCTTTACTCAAACATAAGCAGTGGCGTCAGTGGCAATAGTGAGATTGCTGGTTCGAGTGCTTAAGCGTCAGCTTGGTCCGACGTTGTGTCCTTAGACAAGGCATTTTACACGAATTTCTCAATTGGCTCGGTCCTTTCGGAGATGAACGTTAAACTCAGAGGACCCACCTCTTAAATAACCTAATAGTGTTGATATGGGTGTTAAACCGATTCCATGTTCTTTTGTTTTTCAAGCAAAAAACAACAAACGATAATTTATTTAAACTAATAACAGTTCCTTCAACAAAAACCTACTTTGTCACACACGACACTGAGGGAGCCGCTCTGATGACAATCACAAGACTGACAACCTAGACCTTGGGTCAAGTTGAAGGTCGTGTCGTCGCATGTATCACAGTTGTTGCCAGAAACATTAGGCAGACATTCACAGACTCCGGTCACGTGGTCACACGCCCCAGTAGATCCAGGCACTGTGTCACATGTGCAAGCTAGAAGAAAGAATAAGTAAAATGAATTAATTAATGTCACAAGGAGGTGAAATCAGGCTCTTATCAATTTTGGGCATACGGGCTATTGGTACCATCTTACAGCCTGTTCATTTTCCTTCCTTTTGGCGAAAAAAATATCCATCTATGTTGAATAAAAATTGAAATATTTGCAATTGAAATAGGTCAGAGTTTCGCCTGGTTTCAGGGGTAAATTAGCGAGAAAATGGTCACCAAAGTTTTGTAACTTCCGTTGCCTGAGTTCCTTGAAAACTGAATATTTTTTCCTTTAATCAATGTTTTAAAGTAAAATCCACACGAAAGTGTGTTTTTAAATGGACAGTAAACCAGTATAAGAAAAAAAGGGCCCATCGGTCAAAAAGAGGTCGATTTCTTTGATTTCATTATTTTGACGAGCGCCTGATTTCATTACGATGCCTCACAAATGTAGTTAATGTAAGATCCAAAGCAGCAGCATTGTCAGCATTGGCAGCAACAGCATTGTCGTCCATATTAGTATATTAAGTTTTAGTAGAGTTGTGCGGCACTTGCAACACATTAGGCCATATAAGTGCCAAAGAATAGAGGTGTTGGAGAGAGTCACAAACTCAAAAAAGGTAAAGGAGAAATAAAGCAGATAAATGATGATAATTAATATTTGATAAGAAAAAAAGCAAACCACACCTGAGCACCTACCAACCACTCGCCATCTTTATCATTATAATTGTTGTTGTGATAATTAAATTGCAAGAATGTATGGATTCTTTTCTCCGGCGTATGTAGCAACTTTGGCCTCGCAATCAGCGTAAAGAAAAATTAGCCTCACCAACCTGCTCAAGCCTCAACAGGCATCGTTCCCCCTGTCAATAAAGTTTATGATAACCAGTTCAAGGCAATTGGGAATTTTTTCATATCTTAGTAATGGACTTTCTACTAAAGCTAGTGTTGATGCAGAAGTTGATTTCAGGATTAGGAAGATTGAGAAATAGAGTTTTGGTATAGGCACAGAGACAAAACTCGGTATGTTTAGCGCTGTCAAATTATCAACCCTTTCATAATGAGCTGAGTCTTGGACAGTGTACAAAACACATGGTAAAAATCTCAACAACTTCTCATATGTGAGATGATTCACTGGAGGAATAAGATCCCAGAGAGAGAGAGAGAACGAAAGAGAGAGAGAGAGAGAGAGAGAGAGAGAGAGAGAGAGAAAGAGAGAGAAAGAGAGAGAGAGAGAGAGAGAGAGAGAGAGAGAAAGAGAGAGAGAGAGAGGTGGAGAGAGGGAGAAAGAGGGAATGAGAGAGAGAGAGAGAGAGAGAGAGAGAGAGGTGGAGAGAGGAAGAAAGAGGGAATGAGAGAGAGAGTGGGAGGGGGAGAGAGAGATAGATAGGCTACAGAGAAAGACACTAAAATTCTTGAAAGGATCTGAAAACAAAATCTTACTTAGATGGGTCGAGCCCGCCTCCTAGATAATCTAAATCAACTGTGTCTATTTAGACAAAGAACCTCTTTTTTAAATTCATCTTTTTAGATATATTGTTTCTATTTATTTTATTTATTTTTTTGGTTTCCACAGATGACTCACGCTGGCACTCAGAGGTCATGGGGTCACCAAAGAATCCAGGCGCGCAGATTTGGCAGTTGTGTCCGGCCGTGTCGTTCCTGCAATCCAGGCACTGTCCTGTGATCGTGTCGCACAGGTCGGCTCGTCCATTACACGCGCAAGGCTGACAGATTCCGTTGACGTTCTGCGAGAAAGTTATGAGAGACAGGTAAAATTAAACAGTTGTCAGTTTTTTTTATTCTTAAACAAAATATGAATTGTACCCTTGTGTCGATTAAATCTTCAGATGAGCAAAAAGGTGAATAATTGTGTACGTTTTGTTAGTCTTGTTAAAGCGGTCTATCCATCCATAAGTTTGTCTGTCTATCTGTCCCTCTGTCTGTCTGTCTGTCTGTCTGTCTGTCTGTCTGTCTGTCTGTCTGTCTGTCTGTCTGTCTGTCTGTCTGTTTATATGTGTGTAATGGTGGTGTATCTCTCTAAATTTTAATATCTCTCTCTCTCTCTCTCTCTCTCTCTCTCTCTCTATCTATCTATCTATCTATCTATCTATCTATCTATCTATCTATCTATCTATCTATCTATCTATCTATCTATCTCTCTCTCTTTTGCGCTCTCTATCTATCTATCTATCTATCTATCCATCTACCTACATATCTATCTATCTATCTATCTATCTATCTATCTATCTATCTATCTATCTATCTATCTATCTATCTCTCCCTCCCTCTCCACACATTCCCCTCACCGTGATGTTCTCGGGTGTCCCAAAGTATCCCTCCTGACACCGCTCGCAGTGATCACCTGTGTGCCCAACGCGACAGTCTACGCACACGGGGGTACCTTCTGGAGTCAGCTGACATGTGGCCGCGAATGCGTTAATCTCATTGGCCACAACAATCCCTGGGCATGCGCAGGGAAGGCAGTCATCTGGGAAAGACAGAGGAGATAATAATATGTGCAGGGCCCTTCGCCTCTTTGTGGTTTTGTTTCTTTCATCACAAGAAAAGTACAGGGGTAAAGTTTGAGGTCATTTACTTTTGGTAGATGTAAATGTTAATCCACGTCTACTCAGGTTATGGCTTTGTGGGATGAGTAATCCTTGAGTAATCCTTCAGCAATCCTTGAATAATCAATGGCTAACCAAAACAAAAATAAAAATTTTAGAAAAAAGGACCTAACATTCTGACAATGTATCTATAGCATGCTATCATCTTTAAAACAGCCAAAACATTTTGTAGTTGAATTTAACCTTTTCTGTGCTTTTTTTTTATTCAGATAATAGGCAAAAAAGAGTCAAGTTCATGGTTGATTCCATTCAGTTATTTTGGGACGCCTGTTCATCTAAATTAACTACAAGAGGTCGCAAAAGTACCTGCATTTAGAGGTGAAAAGACGTGCTTAAACATGAATTTGTGACATATTAGACATTTGAACATTACATAGATCTAAAATGTAAAAATAATAAAAATAGAAAGGAAAGTATCCAGCAAATCAAACACACACACACACACACACACACACACACACACACACACACACACATACACTTAAACACAAACACACACGTAAAAACACACTCAAACACACACACACACACACACACACATACATAAACACAAACATACACACACATGCACACACAAACACACACACACGCGCACATGCACATGTACACACACAGCCACCCCACACCCTTTTCCCCCTTTTAAAAAAAAAGAAAAAAAGTTTTCATTTTTTTTTAAATTTGTCCACAACAAACTGACCTGGAGTCTTGACAGTGGCGTCGCCATAGTAACCAGGCAAACATTCCTGGCAGTGGTCTCCCTGTGTGTTGTGTCTACACTCACACACGCCGCTCACCGGGTCGCACGGTCCCGTTACCTCACTGGAGCACCGACCCGTGACATTGTCACACAGCACGCGAGTCACGCCGTGACCGTTACACGTGCACGCCACGCACAGGGAGGAGGGGTCGGGGACTCCAGGGTTGACGCGCGTGAAACCGGCGGCACACAGCTCACACAGACGCCCCTGCTCGGCAACAAGAGAAATAATGATAATTATAGGAGTAATAACAATTATACTAATAATGACAATAATAATGATGATGATGATAATAATAATAAGAAGACTAATAATGATAATTAATAATGAAAATAACAGTAATATTTGTATATAATGATAATAACAATAATAGAAATAAAGATAATATTTATAATATTTATAATATACCAAGAAGAAGAAGAAGAAGAAGAAGAAGAAGAAGAAGAAGAAGAAGAAGAAGAAGAAGAAGAAGAAGAAGAAGAAGAAGAAGAAGAAGAAGAAGAAGAAGAAGAAGAAGAAGAAGAAGAAGAAGAAGAAGAAGAAGAAGAAGAAGAAGAAGAAGAAGAAGAAGAAGGAGGAGGAGGAGGAGGAGGAGGAAGAGAAGGAGAAGGAGAAGGAGAAGAGGAAGAAGAAAAAGAGTGGGTAAAAGTATCATCATCATCATCATCCGGTGCCTTGCCGACTGGCGTGGGCGATCATGGACCTCCACATCACTCTATCTTGCCCTGCAGCAATGGTGTTCGTTGTTCTTGCTGCTCCTAGCCATGTTGTCATCTTGCCAAGTATCTTTTCCCTGTGTCTGCCTCTGCCTCTCTTTCCATCAAACTTGCCTGTTGTTACAATATTATCTAATGCTTCTTTCCGCATTGTGTGTCCGAAGAAATTTGCCTGTCGCTTTTTTATATTCGTCAGAAGTTGTCTTCTATAATTTGCTTCAACCGTATAAGTATAAGTATTTGTTTGTTCTGGTAAAGTGTTTTACGCCGCTTACAACTGCATAAGGTCATATGAGCGCGCGGGACACTCCTAATATTTTAAGTTGGTAGGAAATTTTGAATTTTCCCCGGGTGGCGGCCGAAGCCTACTCTTATCGATTTTAGACCACCAAGGGATCTTTAACGTGCGCAACTTGCACACGGGCCCTCCGAAATTGTTCGCCCTTGTCCGAGAAGGCTAAGTGTAAATCTTTCCTACCAGAAGATCAGGGGTGTGGCAGAAAGACGGCAGTTAGGAGGAGCCAAGGAGTAGCAGTAGAAAGGCGGCAGAAAGAGTCAGGAGCCCAGAGGAGGGGTCAAAGGAGGTGAAGGGGTGGGTCAGAAAGTGGAAATGAAAGCAGACAACAGAGCATTGCTGGAGAGGAGGAAAGGAGGTGAAAGGAGACAATTTTAGAGAAGAAAATTTTTCTGTCGCTACCCGGATTCGAACCCGGGACCTTTGAATGAGAGGACAACACCTTAACCTCTAGGCCACGAGAGCCCCCTAAGTATAAGTACAAGTATGTCTACTCACGGAGTATCCCTCCTGACACTGGCACAAGCCCACGTTGTTGACCACACTGACCCCGGAGTTGGGCGTGCCCGCTGACCCATCCACTGCGTTTTCCAAGTGGACGCTTATTATGTCAATCACAGAGCCCGGGACCTGTGGGGGGGGGGGTGGTAATGGCGGGTAAATAGTAGTAGGCCTAGTAGTAGTAGTAGTAGTAGTAGTAGTAGTAGTAGTAGTAGTAGTAGTAGTAGTAGTAGTAGTAGTAGTAGTAGTAGTCGTAGTAGTCGTAGTAGTCGTAGTAGTGAGACCGTAGTTGCTGTTGTTGTTGCTGTCATTGTTGGTTTTGTTTTTGTTGTTGTTTATACTGCAGTATTATAAGCAGCAACAGCAGCAACAGCAGCAACAGCAGCAACAGCAGCAACAGCAGCAACAGCAGCACCACCACCATCAGCAGCAGTAGCAGCAGCAGCAGCAGCAGCACCACCACCACCACCACCACCACCACCACCATCAGCAGCAGCAGCAGCAACATTAATTCGTTGTAACGTTAACTATGACGATGATGACGACAATGACAATGTTCGAGGACAAACAGCAGTTAGTGTGCTCTTGACTCAACGCTTTTTCGCCTGCATGCTTTTGAGAAATCGATCTTCATAAATTTTTTATCATTCCAAAAATCTTCTTTGTGAAGAGGCGAGACGAGAGCATTTTTTTTAAAATTACAGGCTAGGTTCATCTTTATTTCTAATTTTATAAAATTGTTTTTCTCTTTTATTTTCTTAATATACGTTTTGGTTTTTGGTGTACTTTCCAATTAATTCGTTTGTATTTTTAAGGGGGAATCTTTGAATAGTGTATGTCTGTTGTTTGCTGTTATTAGTAATATTGGTGAATTTTGGTTGCCTTTTTGTGTTTCGGGAAAAAAATGTGGTGGGGGGGGGGGGATGATGCTTCCATCAATATCATAAACTTTTATTTTGATACTCACATCAGTATAATAAGCGTCTATCTTAATATTCGTATCAGTAGTATCGTAAACGATTATCTTGATACTCTTATCCGTATCATAAACGTTTATCTTGATACTCCCATCAGTACTACAATCTTCTATTTTGATACTCACATCAGTATCATAAACTTTTATCTTGATACTCACATCAGTATCATAAACATTTATCTTGATACTCATATCAGCGCTAAAATATTCTGCCCTTGAAACAATTGATTCCTATCCACCAACATGGATCCACTCATACACTGATGGATCTGCCTTTAAGGCAACAATCAACGCTGGATACGGGTCAGTGATCAACTTGCCCAATGGGATTTTTTTTTAAAGAAGTCTTTAATTCCAGCGGGTCCTTCTGCTCCAATTTCATTGCCGAACGACAAGCTATCACCAACACAGCAAACTACATCAACTACTTGTTTGACACTAACTCACTTGCTACCACAGACATTGTTATCTTTACAGACAGCCTTTCAACACTAGAGACACTTGAGAGTGGGACTGGTGTGAACAAAGATATACCACACTTGATTTGGAGTCTGCATAATTTGATAAATAGGCACCAAATCAGAGTGGTCCTACAATAGATTCCTGCTCACACTGGGATCCCGGGAAATGAAAGAGCTGATGCTCTAGCAAAGAAAGGAGCTAGCCTCCTTCAGCCTGATGTTCCTACTGATTACACCACCTGCTGCCAAATGATCAAGCCAAGCCTAAAGGAAGACTGGATGAACGATTGGGCCACAGATACAACAGGAAGGATGATGTATGGCCACATGAATCTAGTAGCATCTGAGCGTTAACTTTTCTGAATGATGCCGTTCTGTAATAGCTGCATGTCTGTTCTAATTGTTGTCTTGAGGAGTAGAGGCAGTTAGAAATGTGGGGTAACTTGGGAAGATAACATCCCACTGCTACACTGGTCAAAGATTCAATCAATGAGTTGAGGAGGGGAGATCAATCCATAATCTTCCAACTTAGACCCCAACATGTACCCTTCAATCACAAATGTTTATCTAGATACTCACATCAGCATCATAAACGTTTTACTTTTTTTTCTCACATCAGTATCATAAACTTTTATCTTGATACTCATATCAGTATCATAAACTTTTAATTTTATACTCACATCAGTATCATAAACTTTTAATTGTATACTCACATCAGTATCAGAAACTTTTAATTGTATACTCACATCAGTATCATAAACTTTCAGCTTGAGAGAAGATAGGTCGGCCAGAATCTCCATGAACTGCGAGAAGGAGGCGTAACCCAGATCAGGGGAAGCAACCCCTGTATTGTTTGTTTGAGTCGTGTTGACCAGCTTCCAGGAGCCCTCCATGACTGGGATCTGTGGAGAACAAGAATTGCTTTATAGCGAGTAATAAGGCTATTGTGAATGTGGGCATGCTGCTGATATAAAATTATCTTTCCTTTCTTCCTTCTAATTCTAAGTAATGTTTTGTATAACCGCCTGCGTTGGGTGGTGTCGGTAGTCTAATCATTAGACTAAAGCCCCATTTAGACGTACAGTTCGTTTATCGACAAACTGACAGTTTAACCGACGGACACTCGATCTGGGTCATCGGTAAACTGACAGTTTGTCGACGAGAGAAGTTCCGTTTAGACGTACAGTTTTTTTATCCGTCCTTGGACTGTTGTAGCTAGATATCTAAGTAAAAACGTCTACAAAACGGAAAAAGTAAAGAAAGAACACAAAAAGAATTTAACATGGTAATCCGCGATTAAATTGCGTACCCCGCGTGAATTTTACCAATTTTGGGTCACTGATTACGAAAAAAAAATTTTTTTTTTAATTTGACGAATATTTCGGAAATTTTTTTAATGCATTTTCAACTCCGCCTGGGGCAACATCAAAGAAGCCGCTGCCTCGTCGTCACCCCTTCAGTTCGCCGGCCGGCAAGTATCTGGCGTCGCCAGATATCTGGTGGTTGGACGGAGAACCCTTCGACATCGAGAGGATTGCTCGTTTCACGCTCAGTTTCCACGTGAAGTTGGCAGGATGCCGGCCATCCTCTCGATATCCAACAGTTAGTCGATCAACGAACTGTGCGTCTAAATGGGGCTTAACGGGCTCGTAATCGTGAGATTGCGGGTTCTAGAGTTTGAGCCTCAGCTCGGTCCGACGATGTGTTTTTGGGAAATGCACTTTACACGAATGTCCCACTTGGTTCGGTCCTCGAAGATCCCGCCTCTAAAATAAGCTAACTGTATTGAAAGGGGCGTTAAACCTATACCATTTCCCCATTTCTGCCTGCGTTGGAAATAAGAAGAAAAGTTTGAAGGAAAGGTAAGGTCAATGGAGGGTGAGAGAAGAAGAAAGAGAGGGAGAGACAAATAGCCAAAAAGAGAGGGGAGAAGGTTAGAAGCTAGTTGACTTTTGATGCTTTTGATGATAATTGGGTGTGCTTGGGTCTCTCTGACTCGCTGTCATTCTCTCTCTCTCTTTCTCTCTCGCTCTCTCTCTCTCTCTCTCTCTCTCTCTCTCTCTCTCTCTCTCTCTCTCTTCTCTCTTCCTCTGTCACTCCCGTTTCTTTCTCTCTTTCTTACTCTTCCTCTCTCTCTCTCTCTAGGCGCAAATAAGAGTGTTTTTGTATAAATGTGTGTGTGTTTGTGTTTGTGTTTGAGTGTGTGTGCATGTGTGTGTGTATGTGTGTGTGTGTGTGTGCGTGTGTGTGCGTGTGCGTGTGCGTGTGCGTGTGTGTGTGCGTGTGCCTATGTGTGTATGTTTGCATATTTTGCGTTTTGTGTGATTGTGTTGATATGCTATTTTAGTTCTCCATTAAGGTTCCGTTTAAAGGTAGGACCAATAAAGTATACCTCATTTTGTCGTTTCTGATCTTTTCCGTTCCAAAATATCATACATGTACAATATTCTACGTATTTCTTCTTTGAGTTTTCTGAAAGTTCTCCCAGTCCTTCATCTGAGGTTGTATCTGTTGTCTATTGATTTGGCTACCCGATTTGTAATCGTAAGACAGTAGGATCGGGGGTTCGAGGTTAAGAAGGGTTCAACTTTGTGTCCTTGAAATAGGCTCTTTACATGAGATTTTCCATAGGCTTCATCAACCGGAGATGGACGTCAAAATCGGTAGTTCTTCGTCTTAAATGGCATGACAGTGTAATTGCTAGAGAGGGCGGGGGGGGGGGGTAAATTTAAT